GCGTTTCCCAGTCAAATATATGCTGGAGTACCTTTAAGAATAAATTTGTCACAGGTTTAGTTTGTACGTTTTAATATAAGAATTTAGTTAATCATGTTTTCATAATGAACTTGTCGATGGTGCAATTTCGAAAGCTTATATTTGCTAACGTTTGATGTTAATTTCATTTTTGTGCATTAAATAACATTTCCTTTATTGCTGTGTTATTTTGAGTCAAAAACAATCATAAAATTTGATGCATATTCTGACGGTTTGCACATGACGTTATCAGTCGAAAAAAATTCTAAAATCACAGACACACAATATTCAGTACTAAAATATCTTGAAGAGCATGAGCAGTTTTTTGTCTGAAAAGTTAATATTTTTTTTTGCTGTTTATTCGTTGAGTTATTAGAGTTATTCCGCATAAGAACATAAATACACAATTGTACATTATTTTACGTTTCACATGTAAATTAGCAGATAACGCGACACCTCTATTGTTAAAAGGTATTAGAAGAATATTAGAAAACAAAAAAACAAAAACAAAACACATAAGACAGGGGCTTGTTCAAGAGTTTATTCTGAGCAGTTATTCGATATTTGATTTATATATATATATATATCACTGACTAAAGCTCATCCAGTTTATTATCTAGTTTTTTAAAAACATTGTTCATGAGCTCAAGACTAGCAGAAGCTTTTTCACACATGGATGTATGAGCAATCTGTGCTTGGTAGTTGACTTCTCGCTGCGACGGCTGTTTCTTTTTTTTGACGGGCGTCAAAGTAACCTCTGCTTCATTATCACTACTTTCCTCACTTTCGCTATCTACAAAAGAGTCAAACTTGCGTTTACTTCTTTCCTCTGGCGTTTTCTTTTCGGCGTATCTCATTTGCCTTTTTGCAACAGCATCAGCACCATCCCTGTGTGTGTTCTTCGTTTTTGCATCAACTACCATATACCGTAATGATGATCAGTAGTCTGCGGCTCAGTAGTACGTGTGTTCTGATATAACATGGCCTTAACCTTTGTTTCTTCTCTTACAATCCTCTTTCTACGTCCCAAAACTTTATTCTCGTCTTCTTTCAAATAAAACTGACATAAATTATCAAACCATGGCATCTTAGTGTTGANTGCTACATTTGGAAAATTAGCAAATCTTATTATGGAAGATCATGATTTAGAATATCTGAAAACACCAGCTGGAGCATTATCTCTATATAGAGTTTTAGTACATGAAGTGAACAGTCTTGCATAGTAAGCATAATAGCAATAGCATTTGTCGTTGTACAACATGGACTGCAATTTTGATTGTGGTAAAACTTTAAACTAAATTTATGAAACAGTAATGTTTTAAACAGCATTACCTAGAAGGACGTTATTTATATATCTGTAAATCATCTGGTGATGAAGCGCCATTGTGAAACAAAGTAATGTAAGTATTGTTTAAGAAGAAAGCTGTAATCTTAGCTCTTAGCTAATTGCAATAGTTGATAAGTAAAATATATTGGATAAGGGACTGTTCATTTTGTATGTATTGAGAGGGTGCGTTGGACTGGTTTTATTTGAAAAAATTATATCCAAATTGCCCCGCCCTCCTCCCCTTCCAATACAAAATGAACAGTACTAAAGAACACTAAAAAGGTCATCACTTTCTTCACAGATAYAGTATTTTGTTTATTATCAATAATATCTTATAACATATAACTTTACATCTTTTATCATATAATTTTGTATGAACACTAGTGGTTTTTCTGTAGAAGATAAAATCTGTATCTTCAAGTGATCAAATAAGCTCTTCTGTATAATAACATGCATAGTGCATTTTCTAACCCAACTTAACTCTATCAATGTAARCTGCTTTGTATAATAACATTGAGCATTTTCTAACCCAACTAAACTCTATCATTGCAAAATTTTGGAACTTCCAACTTCCAGCATTTTGTTGGACTAAATCAAGCAATTTAACATATGGATTGGTCATGATTGACTTGGATGCCAATAACATATCTTACTAGTTTCATACATTAGATAAGTTCAGAAAAAGAGAGGCTAAAGTGCTTGTCTTATGAAACTKACATAATGCTCGAATTGTACCTAAGGAAAAAAACAAAACTTCAAGAATGTTTGTTGCATTAGATCTGGCTAATGCATGAAAATAATTCTTTGCAAGTCCTGGAGTGGAAGAGAGCCGGGACTTACTGTAAAAGGGTACAGCATTAAACTAAACTATAAGCAATGTAAAGGGCAATRKCAATTACATATGRTGGAGCACTTCAATACTTTAGTTTCCARTTTTCCAWTGCTCTGTGGTAGCCTCATTGTGTGCAAGAATKTTTTCTAATTGTGAGCATAAAAGTGTGAGATTTCAAATCAATTTTACTTTATGTTGCTTGATTTTGAGGCTAACACAGAGCAAAGCAGAACTCAAAATTGGAGTATATAAATGATGTTGAATTCCCAAGCGCCCTTTTCAMGAAGAACACTTGTARATTCTTCTGCAAGTTYATTAAAGCTTTGGTACGTCGATGGTAACTCAATAACTGGCCCACATGTGTGTGCTATTGGCCGCCTGTCAAGACCCTGCAGTATATTGAACGTAACATTTATCTTATCAGGCATCATACAACTGCCTGTAACAACTTTTAAGAATGCTTCCAATGCCTTAAGGTACTAACAAATTTCTTGAAGTAGTCTAGACTTTGTCTTTCTGCATCAGTTAATGGTTCTGCTGKTGTGACTTTTTAGAATCTTTTTCACTCTTGCCCTTTTTTGTTCATAGTAATTTGACAAAGCTTCTGTGCTTTTGAAAGGATCTTTTTCCTTTAAAGCAGAAAGGGGTTTGCACCAGCACTGAGCAATATAACGAGGCTTTTTTTTGAATTATCTCTTGATGAGCTAACTCTTTTATGATGCACTTATAATTTCCTTTTTTGGAACTTTGTAACACTTATAGTTACTAAAGAAATCTAAGGTCATCATCACCTTCAGTAATACTACCATCTGTCAAAAACTTCTCTTTCGYCACCTGTAATGTAATTTCTAAGTGATGACAGCAARTAATCTGAATCAATTTGGTTTTCCGAAAAGAGACAAGAACATACAAATGCCTTCGAAAGACCCAAAGGAAAATAATTCMATTTCTGGAAACCGTACACTAAAATATTACYCATTGCTGCCCACTCGATTTGTTGATAATCATGCCGTATGGCAGGCACCTTTTCAAGATCTCCAAGTGTCGCTGAAGAAAAAACAGAAGRTACTAAACAAATCTCTCGCCACGCCAATTCCTTCACCATCCTCTGTATTTCCTCTGTCATCAACTTATCTAAAAAAAATGACTGCTCTACAGCCTCATTATCTTTGAAAGTGTCTTGTGGCAAGACCTGTGTATAAATACAGGGATTTCTAGAGAAAAATATAATAAATACATGAATTAAAATTATTATAAATTTATTTCCATTATTATACCTTGTATCAAATATAAAGAATATAAGAAGATATTTTTCATTAATTTTTCTTGAATAGTGGAATTTCCACATCAACAGTAATTACCTGGTCCATCTTGTTGCCCAAGTGGGTGACCATCATCATCTGAACTCTCCTAAGTATATCAGTAAATTATGCACTTTATGTATAAATATGTATATACATTGCACATTCTGAATAATAACAATTAATATATACAATATGAGCGGGCGATCTGTATGAGGATTTAAAACAGCGAGCTGTAAGCGAGCTGTTTTAAACCTCATACAGATCGCCCGCTCATATTGTATATTACATATGAAACGTTGAGGTAAACTAGCTCAGGTTTTAAAGAAACTTTTGAAAAAAAAATCAATCTGACCGAGAAAATCAGAGTTAAAGTTTATGCAAATGAACAAGAAATCTGTATGTAATATACAACTCTCTTCATGGGCTATGATTTCTATTGTGTTTTGCCTTATGAATATTAATGAGAATTATAAACCTACATACCTCATTACAATATTTATTTRCTCTTCGAGTTCAATAAATAGTCTTTGCTAGTCGGGGGTTCCAGTTGGCTCTAAATGGTTTCTTCTCCAAAACGCTGCAAACGGGGATGTTCGTTTACGCAACTCCAAAGTCACTCTGCCCCACACGCACGTGGATCCGATCTTAAATAGGCTCCACCTCCCCTGGGAACTATCCTAATGCTAAATACTAACCTTGTTACACCTTTCCTTCTTAAAGAAAACGGGGGGGGGGGCGTGTGCACATGAACACGGGTGAGAGTGAATGTGGACTGTTGTAAGGCTATTTGCGTGTGTCCCAATCAGTGCTGGCAAACCTTGATGGCTTTTTGCGCTGCCGTCTCGACCTTCGCGGACAACTACTGGTTTCACTACTGGTTGTGTCAGCTGGAGGTGCTTGATCCGCACTAAATGGGCACAGGCGCAGGTGATTTCTGTGTATCGTCTTTAACCTTCCTTGCCTTTCCTCCCTCTTTATCTTGTAGACCAGAAGATCCTCGTTCGTTTTGTCGATGACCTCGTAAACGTTTTCCTCCCATACGTTGTCGAGCTTGCCCTTCGGTGTGAAGTTTCAGGCCAGACGTCATTCATGGTTGGCTTACGATCATACATTCGCTTCATTCGATTTGAGCTGGATTTTGAATGTTCAGCGGCAATCCTGTAAGCTCGCCTAAGCCTTTCTTTTAAGTCTACTATAAACTTTGATGTAGTCGTCTTGTTCGGATTAAGTCCAAGATGCACATCGATAGCTAATCTGGGGTGTCTTCCAAACGTGAGGTATTGCGGAGAATAACCAGTCGACTCGTGTTTCGTACAATAAGCGAAATCGGTGTTTCGGTAGCGCATGCGCACAAAGCATATATGAGGGGGAACTGGTACTAAGTCGGGATAAAACCGATGGGCGAGAACGGGCGACACAACGGACAGAACTATCAGCTCTGTTAGTCCCGTAAGAAAAACCGTCACAAATTTTATATTTTGTCCATATTTTATCCAATTGAAACCACCGTCTTTGAAGTATGAGAATTTKTGCCGTCCTAGGCTGTAGTAATGGTACTTATCGCCTTCATAAATGGAAAAATAGTGAGTGCATAGAACATGGATGCCGCCATGATCAGGATGCTTGTTTATGTACATCGCCGTTTGTTTTATTCCCTTTCCCGACCGAAAAAAGTAATCAAGAGGAAAGGCAGAGGTGGATAAAAGCAGTGAATCGAAAAGATCCAAAGACAGGTAATAATTGGCTTCCATCTGCTGACGATCGTGTTTGCTCCGAGCATTTCGTAGAGGGAAAGCCAACGACTTCTCACCCTTTTCCCACACTAAACTTGGGTTACAAGACCAAAGATGACTGCTTCAAACCAAAAAGGCCAGCTCCAAAGATAAGAGAAACTTTGCCAAAAGAAAAGAAATTCAAGATAAAAGAAGAAGTTAGTGCCGGAAAACCAACTGAAAATGTCAGCTCCGTTCATGTTTATCCAGTAATCACCATTATCGAGCCTCAAGACGAACCTAATGACCAAACAGTCAACCAGACGTCTAGCTCAGCCCTTGATCATATAAAGAACGATCACACATATACTTTTGTTCAAGGTAAACAAACATGTGAAGGGTGTGACGAAAGAAAAAAAATTATTATCCAACAGCAGAACAAAATAGACCAGTTAGAGTTTGAAAATTCACTTCTMAGTCAAAAACTAAAGTCAAAACAAAAGCAGCCAAAAATCGTCAATACGTTTATCGAAAATGACAAAAAAGTAAGAACATATACTGGCCTTTCAAGTAAAGAAGCGTTTGAAGCTCTGGTTAATTATGTCACTCCTAAAGCAAAGAAGATCAGGTATTGGTGTGGGGCCAGAAATCTAAAGATTATATCAACAAAAGTAAAAAGAAGATTCAAAAAATCTCCAAAAAAATCTGGGCCAGAAAGAAAGCTAACTGTCAAGGAGGAACTGTTATTAGTTTTRTTAAAGCTAAGACTAGCTATTATAAATCAAATGCTTGCTGATCTATTTTCTATTGGAACTACTACTACATCTCAGATATTCAACACATGGACAAAATTCTTGGCTAAGTTTTTAAAGCCCCTCATCTTTTGGCCATCTAAAGAMWCTATCCAACAACACCTACCTGCATCACTGCGAAAAGATTACCCAAACCTTAGATGTACCATAGATTGCAGCGAAGTATTTATTGGTCGTCCAAGAGATTTGKAAATTCAAGCACTGACTTGGTCAGACWATAAAAAACATAATACTGTGAAGTTTCTTGTTGGAATTKCACCAAATGGCATGATAAGTTTTTTATCAAAGGCATGGGGTGGCCGTGCTTCTGATCAGCTAATCACAAGGGAATCAGGCTTTCTCAACTTAATTGATCCCTAATGACTTGATATTGGCTGATAGAGGATTTCTGATAAAGGAAGATATAATGCTGCGTAGAGCAACACTTGACGTCCCACCCCCCAGCTCAGGTCTAGAGCAAATGACAAAAGACAATGTAAAGCGCACAAAAAAAAATTGCCAATGCTAGAATCCATGTAGAAAGAGCTATTGGACGCATGAAGTGGTTTACTATCATTCAGCATACCCTTCCAATTACATTAATTCCATTGATTGATGACATTCTAGTTGTTTGTGCTGCCCTGTGCAATCTCGATAAGCCATTGGTTAAATGAACTCATATATAACCAATGAAGAACCCTCATACTCAAAAATCAAACTGTCATTGTAAGTTAAAAAAATGCATGTATTTGTATTCATTTTTCAGAAAATATCAAGTTATGTATAGTTCAAACATTTGCATTTATGTTTTAACTCCCAGAAGTGAATTAAAAAACAGGCATAGCTGAATTTTTTAATCCATTTGTTTCAATATGCTAATCAAACAGGAGAGCAAGTATTTCTTCTAGAAATGGCTTGTCGTTTAAAATCATAAAAAAATTAATTAGAGCTACATCTTACATTGAGTAAGTAGCATAGGAGCCATATGATTTACAAAAAAGTATTCAGCTGCCTCAGTAAGTTCCTGCCACAGGTTAGGATCAAAGTTGATTCTTTYTAAGTAGAAACCATGTCTAGTATATACAAAAAAATCACACCAAGTGCACCCAGTAATGCCCATTTGTGATTGYACTTGGCTGAAATATGGATGGTTCTSTTTAAGTTTAATTTCCTTCTCAACMTTCYTTTGTAAGTAAGGCAGGTTTTCTTCAGTTGGGGCCTGATTAGCAATACTAAAAGGACATTTCACTTCTAGTAGACCCATACCACAGCAGCTACATTTTACTAGTCTATCAGGACTAGCACCAATAAAGAACTTACTTCGAGAAACAAATAATCCACAAGAACTAACATCAATGTTTTTGTGATTTAAGCGATGTAATTGTTTGATGTACATGTTGCAAGCTTCTTCCTCCATTTCCCTGCCATATCGTATCGCAGGGATACATGATTCATCAGACGGTGATTCAGATGTTAACTGTTTAACTAATGGAAAAGTTGTAGAGTCTTGATTTCTGTGCAATGATTGTACCTTAGTCTTAACTCTGTGAATTGTTGATCCAGTAATTCGTCCAATTCTATGAGACTTCCAGCTAGTGTTATTGCTCTGACCCCYTGTGTGTTCCTCAAGCATCTGCACTTCTTCAGTAGAAAGTTTAGGCAAATTTTGCATTAAATCATCTACATTAGTAACTTGAGAACAGAGTTCTTGAATAGTAGGAGGTATWTGAGTAGCTTCCACTTCAATGGTTACATCCACATTAGCATCGTCTTCAACTTTTAGAGCTCCTGTTCCAGTAATATCAGTATACCAAAAAACACTGGCATCTGGGATACTGCCATAAAACACATTTACTAAGTCACGTAAACATGGTTCTTCTTCTTCATGAGAAACAGGTGATTTTGTTACTGAAAATAACTGCCTTGAGGTATGGTTTATTTGAGTARTTGTTCCCTTTTTATTGTAGTGAGGTTTTTTCCAGTTCATTTCATTTATTCGTTTGGGTTCAACAGCTTTTCGTTTGCCATAGTTATTCCACATACATAGTTTTGACGTGGGAGAAACTTCTAATGTTAAACCATTTTTCCAGGCATGCTCTACTTTGAAGAGAACAGCTGCTATGTGATTGCATGTAGATCCTAAGCCTGCGAAGCATGTACAGTATGCACTCTCAACTRAGCCATTATTTTTGTTCGCACATACCCACATTTTATGACAAACATTGTTTATTTTCTGTGATGGTTTTGATTCAGATTTCAAGAAGCAAAATTGTTGAGTCGAGGAAATGTCATGATAAAATACCTCCCCAAGCCATTTGGAATCAAAATAGCTGTACGCCTTTCCCTCTTTGTAGTCGCTAAGAAGTCGTTTTCCTAGATCTTTTCCCTGGTMAATGGTGAGTATGAACTCAGCGATCTGAAATTGAAAGATCGGTGGCCATTTTTTCATTCCTGTTTGCTCGCCAAGCCATTTATTTTCTTCGATATCAACAAAAGGATCGGGTAGTTGCTGACCGTTAACATTCAAAATACTCTTGTACTGATYTGCCTTAGCCAACATCTCCTCCTTTTCAGTCAGTTTCAAAGGAACTGAACACTGTTCGGCACCAAATGCGAGGGCAGTCAGTTCTTCTTTCTTGCCAGTAGTTTTTAATCCTCGTCTTCGTAAAAATTCTTTTAATTCTGGAACTTTCCACATCTTAAAATCATCAAGAGACTTCTTTTCATCCGATAGTTGAGCCATGATGAAAATGAATCACAATAACAGAAAGAAAACAATTCAAGACTTATATTCGTCYGAAGTCCGCCATTTTGTTTCTCAAGATTTTATCCCGAATCGTACCCAGTCCCCGCGCTTCTTATAAAACATTTCGGATGCTTGCCCCAGACTCCGATTTCGCTTATAGAGGTGTCGCGTTATCTGCTAATTTACATGAGAAACGTAAAATAACGTACAACTGTGAATTTATGTTCTTACGCGGAATAACTCTAATAGCTTTCAAAAATTTGTCACACAATACTGTCACACGACTTGAAACATGCAAAATAAAAGGAAAGCCTATTAATCTTTAAACAAGTATAGCCTCAGCATTAAATTAGATTTTGGCCATGATATTGTTGGAAAACTAAATCATTAGTTTTTAGCTCATTTCGACACTCGGAGTTACATGGTTGGTGGATTAGTACACCATCAGGACAATTGCCATACATTTCCTTGTAAAGTAAGAACGTATTCAAACGGTTATATTTTTGCTACAAAATCGCAGTTTGACTTCAAACTTTGCATAACTGTATTTGGCCTTGGACATAAAAAATTCATTTCGATCTTAAAACAAAGTCTTTTGTAGGTATTTCTTGACCAGTCTAAAACGTCTCTAAAGCGCTCTCCTAATAGTGAAAACTATTTTAGGAGAATAAACATTGAAGCCTTGAAGCCTGAAGCATTGAGCCGTGATAATTCCATACGTTCTTACCAATTTTTGATCGCGCGTATTTCTGTTAAAAAGCATTATTTTGGCTCAAAATTTCGTTATGTTCCTTTAATTTAGATGTTCTATTGAAGATAATAACATTTCGATAATTTGGCCTCTAAGTAGCATTTCTAGAATATCACGTGATTAGTGAAACCAAGAATTGGTATAAAGTTATTGATGATTGTGAGTTGAAGAATGTGAGCACTGATGTATTACATGAAATATGATGTAATATATATTTTGTTTCAATGATTATCTAGTATAACTTACGGCTGTTCTTGCTTTAAACCATTGGTTGTTGGCCAGTTTTCGCGTACAATCATTGGTTATGTTGGCTGTGTTGCTTATGAAGGAGGTACTACATGATTGGCAGGTTACCAAACGGTCTGGGTTTTTTTGGCTAGGACTGTTAGGGTCCACTTCAAGAATGATGGTACATTATAATTGGTACATTGCAATAGAATTCGAAATTCTCTAACTGCCAAGACCGCTGTTTCAATGGTGCTTATGAACGTAGACTTCGTAGGGGTGTCGTCTTTCTTGGAAGGAACCGTAAGTTCTTCGTCTAGTACAGTAAAGGAAGTAAGACTGGTATAGGTTAAGGTCACTTGATTGTTGAAGTTAGATGTAACACCGTTCTGAATGGAGATGACGTCGTTCTCTTGAAAATTCAGTTCCTTGGTACTGTTTCTCCACAGTACTAGTGATATCTGGCCTGTTTTATCTGCAAGAATCACGTCGCGCTTTTGGTTTTCGTTGGGAGGTTTTCCTACGGTGACCAGGTCATCGATCGCTATTATGTTGACACAACCAACATGACGTAGAATCTGGTCTACCTCGAAATAGATAGAATGAGTTGGAAACTGAAAGGAAGATGGATTGATTTGTGTTGAAGAATAATCAATCAGCAGTTCGCAGTTGTTCCACGCTGACATCGACTTCTTCATCTTGAAGCCTCTGAGGTTGTATATTTTGAGTGTTTCAAACATGGCGTACATACTCTCAACAAACCATACGGCCTTAATAAATGAGGTTGCGCGGATGCCTTGTTAATGTCAGGCGCTGTCAGGCGGTTAATGTAGCCTGCGTCACATCCACGCATAAAAGGCTGATAAACCGTGATTTGTCCGGATGTGACGCAATGTCTCAATGCGATTCATGGAGTCCCTGTGCTACGAGTATGGGTACGGTCAGCGGTTTTTACTTGTCAATTTCAACATGGACGAAGCGACCAGCAGAAAGTTTAGTATGAGTCGAATATAAATGGATACATATTTTGACATACTGCATTATATGAGGAGATAATTTAGGTTGCAATAGTACTGATAAGTAGGTATGTAACTTTTTAAAAATTATTTACAAATAGATTTTTTGGTGATTTTTTGACCACACTTTATTTCTTGGAATATTTAGTTTTCAAAAGAAGTCCTATCTAGAGGTAGAACATGACATTCTAGAGTATTTTTAAAATACAATTTATTTGCAATTTAAGAGTCGTACCTAGTAGAGGTAGAACACCACATTCTAAGATGTTCTTATAATACAATATATTTACAATTCAAGAGTCCTACCCAGTAGAGGTAGAACACGACATTCTAAGATGTTCTTATAATACAATATATTTACAATTTAAGAGTCCTACCCAGAAGAGGTAGAACACTTCATTCTAAGCTGTTCTTATAATACAATATATTAACAGTTCAAGAGTCCCACCCAGTAGAGGTAGAAAACTGCGAACTGCTGATTGATTCTTCAACTGTATTTCGACGAACACCAGATGTCATGAAGCCGACAATGTTGGTTGTATCAACATTAAATGCATCAAAGTGGTAGTGATTGATGACCTTGTCACAGTAGGAAAACCTCACAACAAAAAAGAAAACTTTCAGCAATTTTTCTATTTTGATCCAAGGATCTCTTGCATGTTTCTTTGTTGGTTTGATGAATAACAATTTCTTTGTAAGATTTGAGTTTTCATGTCTGCAGATATGTGCAATATATTTTAAATATCGAACATACAGATAGGAATTCTCTAAGTGGTGCAGTACCAACTATCTTTTCAACATCAGAGTTTTTGTATTTGAAAGCAAAGGTGTCTTCACCATAACTATCGTTTTTTTTGTTTTCCAACCATTTTTAATCATCATTCTTAGAAAATTGAAGCAGCATGCTGCAAGCCTTTTCAGTTCTTCCTTATTTGGTAATTGATCATCTGTGCAATAAGGAAGTCGTGATCTTACACAAGATTCTAGAATTTTCTTTTTTGTTTACATTTTCTACTTCTCAGCAAGTTGAACTTATATTATGTAGAATTTAACGCTGATTTCGAAAATCGTATCAAAAATTTCGANAAGAAATACAAGGATCGAAAACGGAAATATTACAAATGACATCATCCCCAGTCCTTGTAATTACAAGGTCAAGCGTATGTTTGCCCTGATATGTTGGCTCTTTAACATGTTGAGTCAAATTGAAAAGCTCTAATAAGTTCAAAAATTTAATTGCAGAAGGATTAGAAGAGTCATCAACATGAAAGTTGAAATCACCCATCAAAAGAAATGAGCCAGATCTAACTGAAAATTGCTCAAGAAAAGATGAAAATTCTTCCAAAAACATTGCATCAGAAAATTTATTACGCTTAGAAGGGGGAGGTCTGTAAATAACAAACAGTGAAATTTGAGGAGAAGATGATATTTTCATTCCCATAGCTTCAAAACACTTGAAGTTATCAAAATTTATTTTCCCAAGTTTTAAAGCTTTTTTTAAAAAGAATGCCAACGCCACCACCTCTACTTTTTCTAGAGATATGGTGAAAAATATATCCTTTAGGTGTTAACTCATTTATAACTTGTTGTGAATTACTTTTTAACCAAAATTCAGTTAAACATAAGATGTCAATACTGTTTTCAACTACAAAATCATTTATAACTGTAGGTTTATTACACACTGACCTGGCATTTAAGTGGCATATTTTTGCAGATTTCTCTATGGAAAGTTGTAAAGGCAGGCGTGGAGGAATAGAAAGATTTTTCAAGTTGACGCCGCGCTTATCGAACTTGGTACGAGACGACATATTGAGCCCTGAAAGCGTGTTGATCTTGTTTCGAGTCGTTTGCTTTTTGTGACTACGACCTCCTTTATTTCGTCGTGTTTTTAGAATACCAAGGCTTTTAAGAGTAGAAAAGGTATCCGATGGAATCCAAGACTTAGATTTATGACGAAAAAGCTGAGATCTTGAGTACATGAGCCTTGTAGAGAACCGGCTCGAAGTTGAATTTAAGGCCAAAGATGTTGATTGTGCAATCAGCACGGGATGACGATAAAAAGTTGACTGTAGACCAATATGTCCATTAAAATCGAAGCAGCAGGTTGAAGATAGGTCAGATGGAACTGTTGACAGTGGAAAACGGGATGTTGCTCGGCTAAATTGTCCATATCCCAGAGAAGAAAAGTTGTGGTTCGCTTGAATGGCGACAGCTCTCATCCGACAAGAAATGTTTGGATGCCTTAGATAGCTCCATTTTGCATTGCGAAAACTCGATAAAAAGTAGATAAAAAGTATAAACAATGACTAAGAAAGCTATAAGTTATGAAGTTATAAACCAGAGAAGTCCAAAAGTAAGAAAAAACGATAAAAATGTACGGAGCTCACGAAAAGTCATGCAGCCGTGATCAGCGCATAAATTAAACGCATTCTTATGGTTACAAGAGGTAACCAACCACTTTGTGCGGTTGCAGATGCTTTCGTAGAGCGCATTCTTTGCAGGACTTCAGCCGCAAGTGTGTTTCTTTTGACATTTTTGGCCAGAAGAACCTTGCTTTTAAAAGATCCAGTGTCTTTTCAAAATTGAATTGTCCATCGCCGTCTTGACGGCGTCAGTACAAGATACCTGGAATCAATTGCAGTTTGTCCCATTCTTTAAGTAGCTCTACTACTCTCTTGTCCTCCTTCCTCGTCTCTTTCGTTTAAGAGCAGATGTCTACAAAGGTCAAACATATCGCGGCAACAGTCGAAAAATCTATTTCGCTCAAACTTTTTTGATTAAATGCCTGATGTATCCCAATCATCGTGGTGTAGTTTGTTTTGAAAAATTCTGTTTATTTTTGGAGAAATATTTTTTTTCGTGAGACCTATTAAATATGCTAATTTGAGAGGCTTTCGAACTCGTATTTAATGTGCCGTTGTGTGACAGAAATCCTTGACCTTTCGCATTGATTACAGAATATTTATTTAGCCTAACATAAGTACTTCGTTCACTGCAATTATGAAAGATTGAAATTCAGCTTYTGATTTTTAAGGAAATTT